AATTGAAGGCCGGGAATTAGCTTGGGGCCAGGGAAGGGACTGGGAGGGGAGAGAAGAGGAGGGAAGGATTTAGGATGGTAAAGTTAGGTACAGAGACCTCCCTGTTCAAGGCCCCTGACAGCTGTCCCTGCCCTTCTTCCCCTTCCCTGACTGCAGGGGTTATGTGGAAGTGTGTGTGGCAGCAGGCAGCAGGGAGGGGAGCAACGGGGAAGGGGGAGCTGGGGAGCTTGGCTGAGGGTCTGGGAAATGAGCAGGGATGGGGGGAATGTGGATCAGGTTTACTAGCACCTGCCAGGGAGGCCATCTGGGGCTCCTTCTCCACCCCAGCCCCCAAAGCAGCCCTTCCCCCAGTGCCCTTTGCATTGTCCCCTCCCCCACCCCTGCTGTGGGTTCCCATCATTTCCTGTGTCAGCGCCTGGCCTACCCAGATTGTATCATGTGCTAGATTGGAGTGGGGAAGTGTGTCAAATCAATAAATGAATGAATTCAATAAATGCCTATAACCAGCTCTGGTTTCTGCTGCCTTGCTTCTCCCCTTGGATAAGGGGGAGGGAGGGTGAAAGGCAAAGGGCGGGAGGAAGAAACTGCCCAGAGGCAGAGACATGGAGGAGGGTGGGGGAATTTCAGCCTGGGGAGGTGGTGGAGTGTGGGGGTGGAGGGACACCTAACCCCTGCAGGAGTAGGCGGGCTGTGAGATAGGCCTCCCAAGGGGAGGTAGTCTGGTTTGAGAAGACCCCACCCCCTACTCCGTCCCTCAAAGGCTCATTGTACTAGACTTCACAGCCTTCCTCACTCCCACCCATGCGCTTGCCCCAGCGTTCTCCTGCCGTTCCCATCCACCCTCAGCGCCTCCTCGGTGCCTGGGGCGTACGTACTCAAGCCATAGTGCAGATACTGGGAGAAGGAGTCTTTCTAGAAAAAGAAATCTCACGTTCAATTCCAGTAATTTCACACCTAGTATTACTTCTTTTGCTTGGTGGTTTTATTGAGTGGGCGACGTTTATCCTTCTTGAAGTCAGGTCTGTTCCTAAAGGTCGGAGACTTGCGAGTAGACTTCTTTTTCTCTGATCGTCCTGATAGCTTGGACTAGAAAAAGAAAGTAAGTAAACAAAGAGGCCCCTGCAGGGAAGGTTTCTACAACCCAGGGCCAAAGGAAGGAAAAAAGAAATTGGAGGCAGGAAATTCATCTCAGAGGGCTGGGATGGAGGAACATTCAGTCGGCTGGTGGGAGAGGTGGGTGCTGGGGCAGACCACATTTGGCGAGTCTTACCGGGACGCTCACAGTAGGTTCAATTATAACGACCTTCTTGGCTTCTTGCATTTTAAGCATCTGAATTCGTCTCCTCTCCAGAGCGTCATATTGTATGCGCAGTGCAACTAAGAACAAAGAAAAGGCACCTGCACCTCTGAGAACTAGAGACCTTACCCTTCCCGATGCTCCCATTCGTTGTTCAAACCATCAGCTGGAACCCCACCTGGCCTAAGATGGAAATGCTGGAATGGTGATAGGGAGCTATACGGAGAAGATGGCCAAGAAATAGGGGAAGCAGGGAGTAACGCATGCACATTCCACCTGGTGTGAGCTAAACATCCCTCCTAAAGTGGACCTGGACCCTGCCCCCTTTTTCCTAGGCTCCTATCATCTGACCTACAATATCTCGCTAGTCCCACCCTACATTCTCCATCACACAGCTATGTACTGTACCCTTCATGTTCTTCCCTCCCCCATTTCACTTCTTACCGAGCAGCCGAGGCTCCGGATTCTTGAGGAGAGGCACAAAAGCTCTGTAACCATTCTCCAGCCTGGTTCCTGTGAACATAGCCGTGTGCTATCTCCACCCGTCAACCAGTCTCCACCCTTCAGAAGCCCAAGATTCCAGGACCCAACACTAAAGACTACCCACTGGGCGCGGTGGCTCACGCCTGTAAACCCAGCATTTTGAGAGGCCGAGAGTTCCAGACTAGCCTGGCCAATTTGGTGAAATCTGAGACTAGCCTGGCCAATTTGGTGAAACCCAGTCTCTACTAAAAATACAAACAAACAAACAAAAAAATAGCCAGGCATGGTGGTGGGCGCCTGTAATACCAGCTACTCCGGAGGCTGAGGCAGGAGAATCTCTTGAATCCAGGAGGCGGAGGTTGCAGTGAGCCAAGATCATGCCACTGTTTCAGCCTGGGTGACAGAGCAAGACTTCATCACAATAAATAAATAAATAGATAGATAGATAGATAGATAGATAGATAGATAGATAGATAGATAGATATGTTAGTAAGACACCTGCCACAATGGCTGCCGTAACCTTAGCAAACCTTAGAGGCTTATGGTAACAACCCAAACAGGAGTTAGACTTGACTTACAGCTGTGAAAACCTTATCTTAATTAGAAAATTAGTTTGATCTGAAGGCGGACGCTTAGTCTAGTTTACTTAGAAAGGTCACGGAACCATCGGTTCCGGAAAGAGGCTGTAACAGTCGAGGTCGTCATCGCACCCATGTGCCAATATCTGACAGATGAACGCTGACCATGCCGTGGACAAACAAGAAAATAAATATGAGCAATCGCTGAGATACTTGTGATCCATCATCTTGAAAAGGCCAGATAGTTTATTATTGTGGGAGGTAAAGCGCCTTCCAGCTGCCGACTGTAGAGTTCAATTTAATCTAAAGTGAAGAATCGCGTGTTAGGTGTCCTATTTAATCAATTTTAGCGTTTTATTTTACTTGATAATAATTTATGTTGCCTGAGCTAATCAAAACACCTTGTCTGCTACCGATTCTGAGCCTTAGCTGCGAAGCCAGATTATAAGATAACTGCCTGAGCTCCTATAGATAGATAGATAGATAGATAGATAGATAGATAGATAGATAGATAAAATATAAAGACTACCTTGCCGGGTACAGTGGCTCACGCCTGTAATCCCGGCACTTTGGGAGGCTGAGGCGGGTGGATCAACTGAGGTCAGGAGTTCAAGACCAATTTGGCCAACATGGTGAAACCCCGTCTCTACTAAAAAATTAGTTGGACCTGGTGGCGGGCGCCTGTAGTCCCAGCTACTAGGGAGGCTCATAGGAGAATCACTTGAACCCGGGAGGTGGAGGTTGCAATGAGCTGAGATCGCCCACTGCACTCCAGCCTGAACAACTGGACAAGAGCGAAACTCCGTCTCCAAAAAACAAAACAAAACAAAACAAAACAAACAAACAAACTACCTTGAGCTAGTGGATCTTACTTCTTCCCCTTAGGTATGGACCAGATAACCTATTATTATAGAGGTAGTGCCCTTCCTTAGGCTGACTAGAGATAGTCAATTTGGATCTAGTTGAGAGCATTCAGTTTTTTGAGGGTGTTCTGTTTTTTTAATTTGGTTTTGGTTGTTTTTGGTTTTGTTTTTGGAGGCAGGGTCTTGTTATGTTGCCCAGGCTAGTCTCAAACTCCTGCCCTCTATCAATTCTCCCGCCTTGGCCTCTCAAAGTGCTGAGATTACAAGCATGAACCACTGTGCCCAGCCTTGGATGCCTTGTTTTAAAGATAAGGTTCATAATCTATCTTGAAGGCATTGTTCTATTTCTGGGGAACATTCCTGAGCCTCTACCTGGTGGCCCACGCTCCACCTTACAAACGTAGTAGGTGCTTCGAGCTGTAAGGTATTTGCTGGCATACTCTGCATGGGTGGGCTTCATCAGGAAAAGCATCTTCATTTTCCCCGTTTGTTCACACAAATCGATGGTGCCTGGAGGGAGATCACAGGGTAATTGGGGCAGCTAAGGAAAGAGAGTGGGAGCAAAAGGAGCCAGTGATCCTATACAGAATGGGTTGGAGGAAGCTGTAAGGATATGAGGAACTCCCTTCTTGCCAGGAGGAGGGCTTGGGGGTTAGAGATGACCCAACTCCTTCTGACCTTTGGCCATTAGTCCCCTCCCCAAGCTCCTCACTTGTTTTAGGCAGCTTTACTTTACTGCGGATGTAATACAGCAACACGACGACAGCACAGTTGGTATTGACCAGAAACTGCTGATTATCTGAGAAGAGACAGGATGGGACACATGGGCCTGTTTCTGTGATCTCCACTGCCCTCAGATCCCTCCACCCCCATCCACAGACTCTAGTTCTATGCTGCCCCTCACCTCCATGTTTGATGAAGATGAACATGCCCTCAGGATCGCCTCACTCTTCACAAAATGCCCCGATGAGTCATGCAGAAGGAGGGTGTTCTAGAAGCCTTGTGTGGGGCAAATAGGCCTATAGGGTTGGTGGACTGGAGAGGCAGATGGATTTCATAGGCTGAGGATGCCCAGGCTGGACAGGCAGGAGAGAGCTGTTGGTAGTTGTGGATAACCAGTATCCCCAGGGGTGGGGCCTGAGGCTGCAGTTGAGGGATTATGAGGTCAGAAGTGGCAGGTGTGGCCAAAAAGTAGAGTAATGATAAGGAGAGAAAAACTTGGGTACTTGGGTGGGGTATGTTAAAGATTAGTTGGAAAGGGGGGGCAACATGGTAAGTCTAACTCTTTTTTTTTGTTGTTTAGATGGATTCTACCTCTGTTGTCCAGGCTGGAGTGCAGTGGCACAGTCTTAGCTCACTGCAACCTCTGCCTCCTGGATTCAAGCGATTCTCCCGCCTCAGCCTCCTGAGTAGCTGGGATTACAGGAGCGCACCACCATGCCTGCTAATTTTTGTATTTTTAGTAGAGACAGGGTTTCACCATGTTGGCCAGGCTGATCTCGATCTCCTGACCTTGTGATCCACCCACCTCAGCCTCCCAAAGTGCTGGGATTACAGGCGTAAGCCACCATGCCCAGCCCATGCTAAGTCTAACTCTAAACTAAACCCTGGAATGAGTGCAGGGCACCTGGAAAAAAGTCAGTTTCCAGAACAGTACTCTTTTTCTAGCGAATTGGTAATACTCCTGCCTCCACAGCATAAATGTACTACTCCTTTTTCTTCCCCTCCCACCCTCCTTGTATCCCATGTTTCCCCTACTCCTCACTCCCATGACAGACATTTTTGATGATTATCAACAGAAACTTTATTTCTCATCGGTTCAGGAACAATCAGAGGGTAGATGGAAAGAGGAAGGGAGAGAAAGAGGGAGGGAGGAAGAATCCTGTGGAAAGGAAGGGCCAGACTGAGGGAGATGAAAAACATGTACAGGGCAAAAGGGTAATTCTCAAGTGGGGAATGCCAAATGAAGAGGCGCTTACATGGGGACACAAAATTCCAAATCAGCCACAGTGGGGTGAGGTGAGTATGAGATGCCGATGGGTTGAATGAAGGAAAGTTAGTACCGCTTAGGGCTACAGGACCCTGGGGTTCTTCTGTCAGAGGATTGGGGTTCAGGTTTCAGGCTTCAGGGTGTAACATGGGGGGGCCCAGTAGGGGCTATGCTGGTTGCATGGGGAGGGCCCAGGCCCCTCCCCGAGGGCCCCTCCTTTTGGGGGAATCTCACTGACGAGGCAGAGTCGTTCACTGTAGTCTGGCTGCAGACTCTCAGCCAGTCCCTTAGACACACCACTCCAGGCCTAAAGACAGATATGTCCAGGTCAGGGGTCAATTAGGGGCAGGAAGTAAAATACTGAGCTCTGTGCCAAAGGTGTACTCATGATGTCTGCAACTACTGTAATTGATTACAGAAGGGATACACAGACTCCTGGGCCCCCAATACCAGTTTCCATCTGCCTCACTCAATCTATAATCTGCGCTTCTGTGTGTGTCTGTCTCTGCATAGTCCATCCCCCATTTGGTCGGCCACATCCTGACAGTTAGCACAGGGCCTCCTTCTCTCTCCTCTCTGCCCCCACCCCCACACTCTGTCTGTCTTGCTGGCAGGCAGTTGGCAGTTGATAGACTGCAGCATGCTTATGACAGTGTTCTCACCGAAAAGTTCCCGTGGTATTCAGTAACAAGATCCTCTAGGTTCTTCAGGGTGGGAATTCGGGGCATCGTCCTGACAGAGGAGAAAGAGGGAGCAGAAGCACATAGGTTAAAGCTTTTTAATCACCCTTCTCCCAGTTGTCCCATATGAAATAAAGTGATTCTGTGTTCTCTGTGCCTGTGGCTTCCTTCCATCACCAAACTCTCTTGGGTAATCTCTCATTTCTTACTGTCTCATCCTTTACTCCTAAAGACCCTGCAAAACCCTCCTCTGCTATTCTCAGCTACTGTTCCCCTTATTTTTCTGGGCTTTTCCAAATCTCACCGTTCCAGCCAGAAATACACACAGAGAAGGCTGATAATCAATCCCATGGAGCCAACGGAGATAACCACGGCTTCCAATGCAAACAGGAAAGGATTCTCTACAGAAAAAAGAAAAGCAAAGTGGACCTTATATTTGTTGTGCGCCTACTACATGCCAGGCACTGGTGCCAGGCACTGTGCTGAAGATATACTCTCTGTTTAATCCTCACAACAGCTCCTGTGAGGCAGGAACAATTATCTCCATCTTATATCTCAGGAAACAGAATCCAAGAGTTTAGTGATGTACCCAAGGCCAAAGAGGTAGTAGTATGTGGCAGAGCCTAGATCCAGCTGGTTCCAAAGCCATCTTCACTTTGCAGGCTCTCTAGGAATGCTTCAGGGAAATCCTATACACTCTATAGCCCCCTTGAGTACCCCTAAGCCTCCTTCTTAATCCACGCCCTCTAACAACACACTAACCCAACCCTACACAGAAAAACCTTGATTTCTAGAGGTTGGGGTTGGACAGTGTGGGGAGATGGGGCACCATGTTTGGGGGCTTTAGTGATAGGGGAGTGGAGCAAAACACAATGGTGTTAGAAAGGCTGGGGTGTTGGGCTTATGGATTGGGGTCATGTGGGCCCATTTTACCTTTGGAAGTATTGCTCCCCCAGTGGATTGGGTGGCTCCATTCACTCCAATGCTGAGCACTTCCACAGAGTGGGTTAAAGCGGCTCCGAACACGAAACGTGTAGCGTTTCTGCCCATCCACACTAGGCAGGGAGAACTTATGTCTATAATCTACTGATTGTTCCTTGAGGAAAAAGAGGATGAGGGAAAGTAGGTGTCTATGAGAGAAGAGAGAATTAAAACATACCCCTGAACACCCACCAGTATCATCTCTGCTACTTCCCAGTTTCTCTCTCCTGAGTACTCAAGCCACACTGCTCCCTTCACTGACTTGAATCTAATGCCTCCCCTCTGGATCCCCTTAATGGCTTCCTTTTATTTACTTGTTTATCTGGTATCAGGAAGAGTATGGGTAGGGAATCCTTAATGAAAACTCACTGGTGTCAGGCATGGTGGCTCACACCTGTAATCCCATCACTTTGGGAGGCCAAGGTGGGCAGATCACCTGAGGTCAGGAGTTCAAGACCAGCCTGGCCAACATGGCAAAACACTGCCTTTAGTAAAAATACAAAAATTAGTCAGGCATGGCTGTGCATGCTCCCAGCTACTCGGGAGGCTAAAGCAGGAGAATCACTTGAACTCGGGAGACAGAGGTTGCAGTGGGCCCAAGATCGCCCCACTACACTCAAGCCTGGGTAACAGAGTGAGGCCGTCTCAAAAAAAAAAAAAAAGAAAGAAAGAAAAAAAAGAAAAGAAAAGAAAAAAAGAAAACTCACTGGGGACTACAGGGAAAGGAGTTGGAGGAGGGAGGGTAGGGAGTGAGCAGAGAAGCTGGGAGGCAGAGAACAGGAGCTTGATATTAGGTCCTCCTATCTGTCTGGTTGAATCCTTTAGCCCCACTTGCTTGGCCTTAGCTGCTACATTCACATCCCTAGTCACTCACAGTCCAGCTGTGGTCCCAGTCAGTCCGGTACTGCACCAAGTGCTCCAAACAGTGGTTCAAGAATCTGTTGTTCCAGTTCAGTTCTAGCTGGGATTCACTCAGTTTGCGAAGTGTTAGGTTCTCCGGAGCCCAGGGGATCACTGGAGATATGTGTGTGTATGTGGTCATTCCCCTGGCCTAGACAAGTCAGGATCCTGAAGATAGTGCCCCTAATACCTCCTCCCTTCCCATCCTGATCCCCTACCTCCTTTTTTCTGCCCATCTACCCTTATGATAAAATAACACTACTCCGTAGACTCCAATGTCCCACAGTATCCCTGGTCTCTTGACCCTTTCTTTCCAAATTACCCAGATTCTGCAGTTTTAGCATCTGTGTGGCCTGTCTCCTGGGTTCCCGTGGGTCCTGGAGCTGAACAACAAATGTTTGGTAGAGGTGGATCTCCTTTTTTTGCAACTGACAGCCAGAAGTGATTTCTTCAGAGAATAGATAGTGGCTGCACTTCTGGACTTTATCATTATCCGAATTCTTGTACCTAGAGGAGAAAGGTTGGAAGGAAGAGGAACAGTGGGGCCAATCTGGGTACCACAGCTATCCAGAGACTAGCCTCATCTCCCCTCAACCGACTTATGACTTACCCCAGGAGAAAACAGTGGGGCACCTGGGAGACTTGCTACCCTCTTTCTTGGTCTCTGATCCAACCCACCTCTTGTTCTTCCCCTCCCCATCTTCCCTTCTCATACCAATAATGCAGAGTGAGGTTGGTAGGCTGGGGCTCAGAGCTGCTGTTCCAAGTGCAATTCATGTACTCGACATTGAACACAAAACACTGAACCTCTGGGAGGGGCGGAGTGGAAACACTGAGGGAGTCAGTGGGCATAGAGGTCAGGAAGAAATCTAGATTGGGAAGAAAATGAAGGCAGGGAGGGAAAGAGAAGAAATGATGGTCAGAAGGAAGAGGCTGAGCATGGTGGCTAATGTCTGTAATCCTGGTGCTTTGAAAGGTTGAGGCAGGAGGATCACTAGAGGCCAGGAGTTTGAGACCAGCCTGGGCAACATAGCGAGACCCTGCCTCAAAAGAAAGAAACAAACAAAAAAGAAAGAAGAAGTAGCATGAGGCAGGGAACCCTCCCCCTTCCCCTTCCCATTCTACTTTTCAATTCTGCCCACATGATTGTAATGGCCAGTGGCAGGTTCCAGATTTCTGTACAGCCCCTTCCCACAGCCACCCTTCTCACCAGCCCCCTCCAGTCCCAGATTTCCCACCAGTTGTGGCGTCTTCATTCCCATTGGGCGTCAGAATTGTCGTGTTCAGCGCCACTCCCAGCAGGGGCAGCTGCAGGACTAAGAGGGATCTGAATGGTAATGATGGCTTCAACATGGCGCTTGCTCTTCATTCCCTGGGTGTAGTTTGTCTGTGTCAGGAACCTGGGTCCCTCACCCACCACCCCTCCCCACCCACACATTTCCTCTGTCATAGCTTCCGGTGGAAAGAACCTTATAAACCAGGGCTTTACAGAGGGTGTGGCAAATGTGTGCTGTGTGACAAAGGCCAAGTCCTCTCAGAGATTAGGTGCTGCTGTAAGGTGGTAAACATAAACTAAGGCTGGATATACAATAGTGTCAGAGACTCAAAAATCCTCAGTCCACCTAGATCCTGGGAAGGATCTGTTCACTACCACTAGCACCATTCTCAACCACCTTTTCCTCTAAATCACTACCTTCTATAATGGAAGTTCTGAACCCCACCCCCGACATCACCATCCTATGCCATGCCTCTTCCTTGACTCGGTCACCCTTAAATCTCTGTCAAAGCTCTACTGTTTTGGGAGGATGGAAAATACCGTCTTGGCTCCTGTGGGCACATATACAGCTGTCTTTCCTCTGATCTAATCCAAACCAGAATACCCACCCTTAGCTGCTGCCTGAGCTGGGTCCCTGTTAAGACTGGTGAGGAAGTGTGACTTATAATAGAAAAAGATTCTAGAAATGGAGGAACAACAATACTAGCTTCAAGCTTCCCATCTTCCCCCAACTCTGCTTCTCTTCCTGCCTTCCCCACCTCAGTCGATGGTATCGTCACCCTTTCGGTCACCCAAACTTGAAACCTCAGAATCAGCTTCAATTTCTCCTCCTCTCTCACCCGGAGAATATAACCCACTCTGCTTCTCTGGTGTTTCTCCCAACAGTTTCCTCCTTTCCATTACCACAGCCACTCTGCTAAATCAGTCTTTCATTAGCTCTAGTCATGATTCTTTCTAGACTCCACCAACTGGCCTCCCTTTCAAAAGGTCCTCTGCTCTCTAATCCATTCTTCAAGTTGTTGCCAGTTTTACCTTCCCGCAAAACACAGAGCTGATTGGAGAATCAGAAACTATTTATTCAGCAAACATTTATTAAGTCTTTAATATGTGCCAGGCACTGTGCTTATGTTCTGGAAATAGACCAATAAGACATCCTCATATTTCCAGATGCTCACAAAAAAGTGGGGAAGACATAAACAAGTAATACAATATAGTGTAACAAGTCCTATAGCATAAATGTAGAGATACTACAAAGTATGTGAGCACAGAAGAGGAAGTAACTAAATTTACCAAGATGGAGAGAGGAGTAGTTTAGTGAAGGCTGTGCTGAAGAGGTGCTATTTCAGTGGCATCTAAAAGAATGAGTGTAATTTTACCAGACAGAAAGTGAGGTAGGATACCAAGCAAAGAAAAAGAGCACTTGCCTGGGAGTCTCAGGAAAACTGGACTATATGGCCCAGTTTAGTATTTAGTATGTATCTTTAGTATGTATTAGTTTGCTAGGGCTGCCATAGTTATCCCCAAATTGAGTGACTTAAACCAACAGAAATTTATTCTCTCAGCCGGGTGCAGTGGCTCATGCCTGTAATCCCAGCACTTTGGGAGGCCAAGGCAGGTGGACTGCTTGAGGAGTTTGAGACCAGCCTGGCCAACCTGGTGAAACCCCGTCTCTACTAAAAATACAAAAATCAGCCAGACATGGTGGCGCACACCTGTAATACCAGCTACTCAGGAGGCTGAAACACGAGAATCGCTTGAATCTGGGAGGCAGAGGTTGCAGTGAGCTAAAATTGTGCTACTGCACTCCAGCCTGGGCAACAGAGTGAGACTCCATCTTAAATAAATAAATAAATAAATAATAAATATTTTTTTTAAAAGGGGGGAAAAAAAGACATGTATTCTCTCACAGTTCTGGAGCCCAGAAGTCTGAAATCAGTGTGGCCAGGGTTGGTTCCTTCTGGAGGCACTGAGGAAGAAGTTGTTCCATGCCTCTCTTCTAGTTTCTAGTGGCTGCCATCAATCCTTGGTGCTCCTTGGCTTGCAGACACATCATTCCAATCTCTACCTCCATCTTTGCATCACCTCTTCTTCTCTACATCTCCTTTATCCTTCTCTTCTCTTACAGGGACACCTGTCATTGGATTTATGGCCCATCCTAATCAAGGGTGTTGTCTCCTAGGAGCTTTGCCTTAATTATAGCTGCTAAAAGCCTTTTGTCAAAGAAGGTGACATCCACAGGTTCCAAGTGAACATATCTTTTTGGAGGCCACATTCAACCCACTACAGAGGGCATTCTCCAACTTAAAAGTCTTCAAAAGCTACTCATGGCCTTCAGAATAAAGTCCAAGCTCCAGTGATCAATTCCAGCCACACAGGATATGTCAAACGCATTGACTCTCTCTGGAATTAGTCTCTTCCTTTCCGTAGGCTAAAATCCTTCAGAGGGCAAAACTCCGTCTCTACCAAAAATACAAAAATTAGCCACGTTTGGTAGCACTCACCTGTAGTCCCAGTTACTCAGGTGGCTGAGGCACAAGAATCACTTGAACCCAGGAGGCAGAGGTTGCAGTGAACTGAGATCGCACACTGCACTCCAGCCAGAGTGACAGAGCAAGACTCTGCCTAAAAACTAAAAAATAAAAAATAAATCCTTCAGGGTTACATGCCTATTAGAATAGCCAAAATCAACTGGGCAAGGTGGCTCATGCCTTGCCTGAAATCCCAGCACTTTGGGAGGCTGAGGTGAGTGGATTGCCGTGGCAACACAGCAAGATCCCATCTCTTGTTTGAAAAAAAAAAAAGAGGCCGGGCACAGTGGCTCACACCTGTAATCCCAGCACTTTGGAAGGCCAAGGTGAGTGGATCATTTGAGGTCAGGAGTTCAAGACCAGCCTGGCCTACATGGTGAAACCCCATCTACTAAAAATACAAAAATTAGCCAGGCAGTAATGGCGCATTCCTGTAATCCCAGCTACTTGAGAGGCTGAGACAGGAGAATTGCTTGAGCCTGGGAGGTGAAGGTTGTGGTGAGCCGAGATTGCACCACTGCACTCCAGTCTGGGTGACAAAGTGAGACCCTGTATCAAAAAAAAAAAAAAAAAAAAAAAAGCCCCAATCCAGAACACTGACAACACCAAATACTGGCAAGGATGTGGAGCAACAGGAAAAACTCTCATTTGTTGCTGGTGGAATTGCAAAAATGATACAGCCACTTTGGAAGACAGTTTGGTAGTTTCTTATAAAACTAAACATATTCTTTCAGCAATCATGTTCCTTGGTATTAACAAAGGAGAAGACTTGTGTTCACATAAAAACCTGCAGACGGATGTTTATAGCAGTTTTATTCATAATTGCCCAAACTTGGAAGCAACCAAATTGTCTTTCAGTAGGGGAGTGCATAAACTGTGGTACATCCTGAAAGTGAAATATTATTCGGTGCAAAAAGAAATGAGCTATTAAGGCCGTGAAGAGACATGGGAGAAAACTTCAATGCATATGACTAAGTGAAAGAAGTCATGCAGAAAAGGCCACATACTATAGGATTCCAACTATAAGACATTCTGGAAAAGGGCGAAACTATGGAGGACAGTAAAAAGATCAGTGGTTGCCAGGGGTTGTCGGAGAGGGAAGGATGAATAGATGGAGCAGAAAAAGATTTTAGGTCAGTGAAAATATTCCGTAAGATACTACAAAGGTGGACACATGTTACTCTTTTATCCAAACTCACAGACTGTATAAGATAACATCAAGAGTGAACTCTAATGTAAACCATGAACTTTGGGTAATGATGTTCAAGGTAGGTCCATCAACTGTAACAAATATACCATCTATGTGTGAGGGCAGACAGTATATAGGAATTCTCCGTACCTTCCTCTCAATTTTGCTGTGAACCTAAAACTGCTCTAAAAAATTCTTTTATGGTCAGGCGCGGTGGCTCACGCCTCTAATCCCAGCACTTTGGGAGGCCAAGGCAGGCGGATCACGAGGTCAGGAGATCGAGACCATCCTGGCAAACACGGTGAAACTCCGTCTCTACTAAAAAATGCAAAAAAAACTAGCCGGGCGTGGTGGCAGGCGCCAGTAGTCCCAGCTTCTCGGGAGGCTGAGGCAGGAGAATGGCGTGAACCCGGGAGGCGGCGGAGCTTGCAGTGAGCGGAGATCGCGCCACTGCACTCCAGCCTGGGCAACGGAGCGAGACTCCGTCTCAAAAAAAAAAAAAAAAAATTATTTTAGTCCGGGTGCTGTGGCTCACGCCTGTAATCCCAGCACTTTAGGAGGCCAAGGTGGGTGGATCGCTGGAAACCAGGAGTTTGAGACCAGCCTGAGCAACACAGCAAAACCCCGTCACCACCAAAAAAAAAAAAAAAAAAAGCAAAAATTAACCAAGTGTGGTGGCCGGCGCCTGTGGTCCTAGGTACTTGGGAGGCTGAGGTGGGAGATTTGCTTGAGCCTGGGAGGTGGAGGTTGCAGTGAAGTGAGATTGCACCACTGCACTCTAGCCTGGGCCACTGAGTGAGACCCTGAAGAAGGAAGGAAGGAAGAAGGAAGGAAGGAAGGGGGGAAGGAGGGAAGGGGGGAAGGAGGGAAGGAGGGAGGGAGGGAGGGAGGGAGGGAGGGAAGGAGAAAAGAAAAGAAAAGAAAAGAAAAGAAAAGAAAAGAAAAATTATCTTTTAAAAATATCCTTCAGGTCGGTGGCTCACGCCTGTAATCCCAACACTTTGAGAGGCCGAGGCAGGTGGATCGCCTGACCAGCCTGACCAACATGGAGAAACCCCATCTCTACTAAAAATACAAAAAAAAAAAAAAAAAGAAAAAGAAAAAATTAGCCAGGCATGGCAGCGCATGCCTATAATCCCAGCTACTCAGGAGGCTGAGGCAGGAGAATCGCTTGAACCAGGGAGGCAGAGGTTGCAGTGAGCTGAGATCGCGCCATTGCACTCCAGTCTGGTCAACAGGAATGAAACTTCGTCTCAAAATAAATAAATAAATAAATAAACAAATAAATAAATAAAATATCTTTCAGGCTGAGCGTGGTGGCTCACACCTGTAATCCCAGCACTTTGGGAGACCGAGGTGGGAGGATCACTTGAGGTCACGAGTTCGAGACCAGCCTGGCCAACATGGAGAAACCCCGTCTCTACTAAAAATACAAAAATTAGCCAGGCGTGATGGCGTGAGCCTGTAATCCCAGCTACTGGGGAGGCTGAGGCAGGAGAATCACTTGACCCTGGGAGGCGGAGGTTGCAGTGAGCCAAGATCATGCCACTGCACTCCAGCCTGGGCAACAAGAGCGAAGCAATAAATAAATAAAAGCAATAAATAAAATAATAAAGAAATAAAACAAAATAAACAAAAATAAAAATATCCTTCAGAGTTAGTTCAAATGTTACCTCAGCCTCCCGAGCAGCTGGCATTACAGGCGCCCACTACCACACCAGCTAATTTTTGTATTTTTAGTAGAGATGGGGTTTCACCACGTTGGCCAGGCTGGTCTTGAACTCCTGACCTCAAGTGATCCACCCGCCTTGGCCTCCCAAAGTGCTGGAATTACAGACCTGAGCCATCGCTCCCGCCTTGAATTACTTTTTCTTTCCATTGTGATTCAATAGCATTTTATTTTTGTTACTGGTGTTATTTTTGTTTATTGTTATTTGCTACTTTTGTTATAGCACACTGGCTGTCTTTTCTCTAGAAGGCAATACAAGGCCCGCACAGTGGCGCACGCCTGTAGTCCCAGCTACTGGGAGGCTGAGGCAGGAGGATCGCTGGAGTCCAGGAGGTTGAGGCTGCAGTGAGCCGTGATCGCGCCACTGCACTCCAGCCTGGGCGACAGAGGGAGAACCTGCCTCAAAATAAACAAACAAATAGCAATACGACAATAGGATATTGGCTCTGCAATTGAGAATCTTAGTGCCAGCTCTGTTATTCAGTAGCTGTATAATACTGGGTAAGTGAATTTTCACACTTTGAAAACCAGCTTCCTCATCTGCAAAATCGAGCCAATAATAATCCCTAACTCATGAGGCTGTGAGCAGATTAAAGGAGATAGTGTCTGAAAAGCATTTGACACAGTAGGTGCCTCTTTCGCTAGACCAAGGGTTCTTAACCTGGAGTTCATGGACCCTTAGGGGATACATGGATGAGCTTCAGGGGATCTAAGAATCTAAAGTAACATTTTGCATGTCAATATATGCATATTATTATTATTTCTGGGAAGAAGGTCCATAGCTTTCATTAGCAGCTTTAAGGGTTTGTGAATCAAAAAAGTTACTCTGCAGTACCCTTGGGCAGAAAAAACAAACAAAAAAGGTTAGACAACTCGATGGTAGACCTTGAGGGATTAGAGCCAGCCTTTCAGGGTTTAATAGGTTCTTTCTCATGCATACGTAGTTTCTAATGTTCACAATAGCCCCTTGAAGGAGGTGTTAGCGCACCTATTTTTCAGATACCAGAACTAAGAAACGAACTGATTTGTAATAGACGGAGTTCCTAACCAATGCAAATATTATTTAAGACTTTTCTAGGCCAAAATCGAGCTAGGCTCTGGGAACCGAATTCCAGTCAGAACTCAGCACCACAGAGGCCTCCCTCTTCCCTGGTTTGCATCCCCAGCTCACTCTGCGCCTCCGGAACGTTTCATAGATTTTTGCTGAGTGAAATCAACTTACCGCCGCCGCCGCCGAAAAACTCCCGGGGCACAGAGCTCCGCCCCCACCGGGCCAGGCCCCACCCCCTCTGCGGTCGGTATTGTCCGATGGTTCCCGGCGTCCCTCGGCTTCCCTCGGTAGTTTCCGGCAATGGTCGAGAGTTTCTAACGTGCCCCCTTGTTGTCTCTCGGCCGCCGTCCTCTCAACCACCGCCCCCCTTTTCGGCTCCCTCTCCCCCTTCCCGTTCCCCTAGTCAGCCTGGCCCTGCTGGCGCCTCCGGCGCTACGGGCTGGGCAAGATGGCGGCCTTCGGGATCTTGAGCTACGAACACCGGCCCCTGAAGCGGCCGCGGCTGGGGCCTCCCGATGTTTACCCTCAGGACCCCAAACAGAAGGAGGTGCGTTCGAAAATCGGGGCTCTGGAGGGGCCGGGGGCACGCGGTCAGCCTAGGAGGAGGCATTGACGGCTGGGAATGGGGGGCGGGGCGGTTCGGTGAGAGCGAAAGTCCCGAAAGGGGGAAGAGTAAAGTGGGCTGGCGTGGGAGGGCAGGACGGGGCGCGGTGGGGGGTTCCAAGGTATGAATAGGGGGTGGTGTAGGGGCCGCACCAGAAGCGCCCTCCTCCACACACATCTCAGAAAGTTGTCTGAGACAGCTTGGTGGGGTACGGCTGTTCGGATGTTCGCAAGAGAAGAGTGATGTTTGAGGGCGCCCTGGGTGACTGGGAATCGTAGTGACCATGGGGGTGAGGGTGGGGTCCAAGTGAATATAAGGGCCCAGCTTTAAGTAACGATCTGTTCTACACGGAACCCTCCTC